GAATATAAAGAATATTATTTCAAAAACTACTGATATTTATAAAGATTCACATGAAAAGTTACCCTTCGCTTTGTTCACATATCGTACTACAGTGTGGATTTCGACCGGGGCAATGCCATTTTCTTCGGTTTATGGGATAGAAGCAATATTTCATATTGAAGTTTATATTTTGTCACTTTAGATTTTGAAAGAAGTGGAGTTGGATGAAGCTGAGTGGGTTCAGGCTCGATATAATTAGTTGAACCTTATTGAGGAGAATAGATTGAAAGTTATATGTCATGGTGATCACGTGTATATTTGTGTGTTATGGAACCTAAATCTGTGCAAGTATACACAATCGATGCAAGTAATATAGTAGTAAGTGAGTTATCATCTCCACAGGGATTGGTGCGATGTTTTTTATATTTACTACAACTAGAACTAAGTGTCAGTAATTAGTCCTAAAAGTCTTGTCTAAAGAGAAAAGTAAGCAGTATCAAATGATATGAACAGATGGAAAGGTATTGTAGAGGTGATCAAAGTTATAAAGTAAAGTGACCATAAAATTTTGGTCGAGGTAATAAAAAAATGCAAAGGTAAACAAATAAAAGTTCTCAAAGCAAATAAAAAATGTTGAGTTTAATATAATCTAAAAAACCTGACACAATCATACTTCTAATGGAGCACTTGGGTTGAATTGGCTATGGCGAGAAATTACTCTATGTCTAGGATGATTTAGTATGCTATACCTTACTGCCCGACAAGGTTTAGTAGAGTGTTCCTGGAACTTTTTCTACAGTAATACTATTCAGCGTGAACTACAACTATTGGTTTGTCAAACTATTGTTGTGGCAATACCCCTAATGTAAAGTGTAGCTTTTAGCCTATTTTACTGAAGCACTCACACTTTTTAGTCGAATGAAACCCTCTCCTTATCTCGAAGTAGGATTAGGACCTCGCTATCCCGGATTAGTTCCCTTGTTCACATAGATCTAACCTAACTCTCTCGATATTAGGTATCAACTCCTAGAAAAATGGCAATCTCTCAAAAGCTCTTACAGAGACTAGGAATGTTCTGTCGTGGCACCAAGCAATCTCTCAAATGCTCTTAAAGTGTCAAGGCAAAAGATTAAAATAGTGAACAAAACAACACTTAGCATAAACAAACTTCATCATCCATTAACAATCAAATAAAATATCATCCAAGTATCATCCAACACCAAATAAAACAATTTATGGTGTGGTAAATATCATCCCAAAATTTAATCTTTAAGTACAAACCGTTAATTTATATGGAAATGAAGAAAAAAAGGAAGAAAACTCCCAAAACAGAGCTCTGTCATGACATTTAGACCACCACCATGACCACTCTGACGGTCAACCTCTATTGAGGGGTTGACCGTCGCTCCGACGAAGCTCGGCTATGGAGGGCACCAAAGAAGGTCGAGTGGGGACAGTAGAAAAGTGAATTGTTGCAACCACTTACTCTAAGCCTCATTTTAGGGTATATTATCATAACTTTTTTAATAGATATAATGGGATATTTATAGTGGGAATTTCTAGGGTTTAGTGCCCTTGGAAATTCCCTAAAACGCTTGGTTTCATACCCATTGTGTGAATAATATAGCAGCTTGCGGTGGTCTCAAATTCCTTGTTGAGGGCATGGTTGCACATGAGGTAGATTGTACAGCCGGACAAGTGACATCAGCAGTTTCGTCTTGTGTTGCATCATACTTGCAAGATAAAACTCGTATTGGCAAGAAAATTTACTCTTCACTGTCATCTTCTTATGTTCCAGTGAACCCGGCAAATTAATTTGTCTTGGCAAAAGAATTCTCCCTTAGTCATTTTCTACATCATCACAACCAATAAACAACATTTCTCCTTAGAAACATTAGATTAGTCAAATAAACATAGCCTTTTCAAAACTTATGCACCACATGAAAATATGTCTTAAATACAACTAAAATGCTAAATCAATGACTTTTAGACACTCAATAACTTCAGTAAAAAGACACAAAAGCTAGTCTTTTTACGGAGTTATCACACCCCCAAACTTAAGCTATTGTTTGTCCTTGAGAAATGGATAATAAGTAGTAGAAAAATAAAGTGTCACGGCAAAGTATAAATTAGGACAATCAGGTGGTTTAAAATTTCAGTCCTCAGCAATAAGTTTGGGCTCAACATGCTAGACTGAGTAACAAGTCAAGTATCCTTCCCTAGGTCATAATTATTTGAAAGTGTATGTGTGAAAGTGTATGTGTGATTGTATCTAGTATATGTATAATGAAATTAGAAAACTCCTAAGTAATTTCTTTTATTTTTGCCAATGCATCATTATTCATTAAACACAGTTTCACTCATGTTTATCAACATGTAACTTCAAATATTATTTTATTCATTTTTCACTGCTTCGAGGGGAGTCAGCTCATCACACCTATCGTCCCATACTATAGGTGAAAGGGAGCATTCCTTCCACCCCCAAGCTAGTCCGGTAGAGTTATCCCATGAATGCTTTCATTCACTCATGTGTCGAGGCAACCATTTATTTAAGGGAATTTTTAGGTCATGCCGTCGCACAGAGAAGTGTCCATCTACAGTTATGCCGAGGAATTTATTTGCAATTAAACACAATTCAACACACTAAGGAGTTCAACTTAATATTTTCAATCATTTAATGCCACATCGCATTAAAAGTTCTTTCTTAAAAATTTTCTAAGTACCTTAAGCAGAGAAAACATACAATCGTGTTGACAGAATCACAAGGAGTCAAGTCCTTAGGTAGGTTTTATCCTCCAACAGTCATGTAAAATAATTGTGGCCTAGGCATAAAATGTTGCTTTCATCACTATGCATCATCAACTTATTCCAAACAACTATCATAACATAACTCATTCCATGACAAAATTTATTTCTACCAATCATTATATATGTAATTAACTAAGTACGAAGCATAACACCTCCCCCAAACTTGAGGGATGCATTATCCTCAATGCATGAAAAAAGGTAAAGTAATATGCAAATGTAAAGTGGTATCTTATTGTGGTGAGGTAGTTCTACTAGAGGCTCGGGTTCAACATCTTTTGATAGGATAAGGACTGACATATCTTGTTTCTTCTAACTGGAGTGATGATGGAGATGGCATAGCAATGCGACTGGCTAAGCGCTTGAGGTGATACTGGGTTCTGGGAGAACTGTTTGGTTACAGCACGTCCTCGGTTGGGTCAGTCACAGAAGATGCATGTAAGGGTTGGCTGGCGTCAGTTGTGATAACTTGTTCGTTGTTCAAATCTGGTGGCTATTTAGGGGCTTGTTCAGTAGTTAGTTGTTCATCAGTTGGTTCAACAAAAATTGTGGCCGCAGAAAGTTGTTGGCTTCGAAATATTCTAACAAAATTTCCTAAGTGTCTTTGAGGAGGAAGAGGTCAAGTTGGTGTACTAATCCATCTGGCCTTGGCCTTCCTTATGGATTCGAGAGACATGTGTGGCAATATGGGTGAAATTTACCAGGGAATCATGCTGAATATTTTGTGTCGAGGTGAAAAGTATGTTACCGCTTGTGGGTACTAACTTACATAATATTTCTACAGGAAAAGGTGGTAGGTCTTTAGTGGTAACTTGTAACAAATCCTTGAAGAATGTGTTCATTTGTGCATCTATTTCCTTGACATAATTGAAGAAGGTATGCATGTTACCTTCCAAGCATTCTATCCGTTCCCTTGTCTCTCGAGTAGTGGTGACCACAACCGCCATTCTTGTCGCGATAAAAGATTTTGGACCACATTCTAATCCCTCACCCTGAGCATTATCATCAAAACTCATTAGGTCATATACCTTCTTTTTGGTGATGCCCTTCTTGAATTTGATGAACCTTTTCAAGGGCTCATCGGGGACCTTTTTCTTCGTATAGTGAGCCGTAATTAGATTTGGAAAGAGTAAGTTACCTTTCGTCCATTTGGAGCACTCATAGATCTATTCAAATATAATTTTTCCCCACATCAATCGATCATTCGTAGATGATGAATGGAGAAGCATTAGTTATCGTAACAACACAGTTGTGTTGTGAGACATGGGTAACAACTTGCCCTTTAAGAAGTGGTTCCATAGCTTCATAACTAGCTTGAGAGCGTGGCGATCTACATGCTTCCGGTTGGGGGCATTCTCAATTTTTTTGAGTTGAAAACATCGATTGATGGAGGAGGGAGTGAACCGGATGAACTTCCCTCTAACATAAACAGAGTGTTGGGAAGGGTTTTACAAATGCACATAGAACTCCTGGACTAGCGCTAGAGCTACTACCTTCGGGTGCCGGGAAAATTTCTCCCAGTTGTGTTATCCGGATAATGTCCATCACCTCAGGCCCGAAAGGTTCCTCATCGCCCACAAGGAATACAAAGCCGTCTTCTAGGTAAACTTGGCATTTCTACAATGCCTTAAATTTGTTCTCGACCTTAGCACTTTGGAATCGCCGAAAGCTTACTGCAGAGACAGACGAGGTGGAAGCACTAGGGTTTGACTTGGAGCAAGCTATGTTTTCTTGATGACAGAATTGAAGAAGAAATGATTTTGGATGGAAACTATGGAGGTTTTTGGGGAAAGATGAAAAATCAAAGGCAAAAGAAAAGATAAAGAAGAAAGTGAGTGAAAGAGAGACGGTGAAAGAAAAAAGTAAAGTATGCGGTCTTGAAGAAAAAATGGGTTAGTGGGTGTTTTCTGGGGATAAATAAGTGAAAAGTGAAAAAGGAAGATAGAGTAATTAATGCCAAAGATTTTAATGGGATAAGAAGGAATAAAATAATTAGGAAAAAAATTTCCCTTTCAAAAGTATCACTGAATTAGTTTACAAGGGTTTGGCTTCCCTCCATGTATGAGTTATAACCCTACGCTGCCACGTGTACAAAGATTACGAAAGACACAATGTTAGATAATACAATAAATATAAATAATATGTTCAGAATAAAATAAAAAAAAAATTATTTATATGCATAATGTAAATTATGTTGCCTAGGCAACAAAATTTATTTAGGGAAGATGAGCAAACTCTTGGGTGCCGTTGAGTAGTGATGCCGATTTGTCACACATAATCGGTGCTCCATTGTACGCCTTCAATCTTTGACCATTCACCTTAAATGTCATCCCATCATTCAGGTTTGTGATTTCAATTGCGTCTTGGCTATGCACTTGATGCACTATAAAAGGTCCCGACCATTTGGACTTCATCTTGCCTGAGAACAACTTGAGCCTTGAATTATAGAGAAGTATTTGTTTCCCCGGAAAAACTTTCCGTGGTAAAAGTTTTCTGTCGTACCACTTCTTTGTCTTTTCTTTGTAAAGACGGGAATTCTCATACGCCTCAACTCTAAATTCATCCATCTCGTTTAGCTCTAATAATCGTCTTTCTACAACAAGTTGCGCATTCATATTAAGTTGTTTGATCACCCAAAATGCCTTGTGTTCTAGTTCCACGGGAAAGTGAGATGCCTTGCCATAGACTAACTTGAATGGAGACATCCCGATTAGCATTTTCAATGCCATGCGATATGCCCATAGTGCCTCATCAAGCTTTGGCGACCAATCTTTCTGTTTTGGGTTACCCACCTTTTCAAGAATCTACTTGATCTCTTGGTTGGAAACCTCAGCTTTCCCATTTATCTGGTAATTGTATGTCATAGTAATTTATGACGCACCCCGTATCTTTGAAATGCCTTGGCAAATAATTTATTGTCAAAGTGAGTGCCTTCATCGTTGATAATTGCCTGTGGTGCTCTAAACACATCAATATATTTTTTTTGCAAGAACTTTAACACGGACTTGGAGTCATTTCGATGTCTTGCCACGGCCTCGACCCATTTGGATACAAAGTCCACAACCAAGAGTATGTACTGATCACCAAAAGATGATGGGAAGGGTTCCATAAAATCGATATTTCATACATCGAAGAGTTCAACGTCCAAAATATTAACCATGGCATATCATTTCTCTTCGATATATTCACTGTGCATTGATAGTGATCACATGACTTATATAATTCATACGCATCCCTGAATAAAGTGGGTCAGTATAAGCCAGATTGAAGGACTTTTCTAGCATTCCTTATCCCACCAAAGTTCCCTACAAATGGAGATGCATGGAAATGAAAAAGGATCTCTTTGTGTTCTTATTCGAGGAAGCACCTTCTGATTATTTGATTACCATATTTTTTGAATAAGAATGGTTCATCCCAAAAATAGTGGCATACATCATGTCTAAACTTTTTTCGGCCCTGGGTAGATAAATCTTGAGGCATAATACCACTAACAAGAAAGTTAACTATGTCAGTGTACTCTAGCACTACCACGACAAATATAATTTTCTCTTCAAGAAAATCCTCCCGAATGTCCTTCATGTGATGGAAAATATTTTTGTTTCCTAGCCTAGACAAGTGATATGCTTCTTGGTTTTCAGTACCCTTCTTATTCTTCACCTCTAAATCAAATTCTTATAGTAAGAGTATCCATCTTATAAGCCTAGGCTTTGCATCTTTTTTATTAACTAGGTACTTAATGGCAGAGTGATCAGTTTGTACAATGACCTTAGATCTTCTAAGGTATTTTCTAAGCTTATCAAAAGCGAATACCACGACAAGCAATTTTTTTAGTAGTGGTATAATTAAGTTGTGCATCATTAAGGGTATGGCTGGCATAATAGATGACATGGAAGACTCTAACTTTTCTTTGCCCTAGCACTGCCCTACTACGTTGTCACTTACATCGCAAATCAGCTCGAACGGGGCATCCTAGTCTGGTGGAACAATAATTAGTGTCGAAGCAAGTTTTCTCTTCAAATCAGTGAAGGTGTTGAGGGATTCTTCATTGAACACGAATGGTTGATTTTGTTGAAGCAACAAACAAAAAGACTTTGAAATATTTGAAAAATCCCTGATGAAATGCCAGTAAAATCCTACATGCCCTAGGAAACTTCTGATGCCCTTCACAGTGGGGTGGAGGCAAATTCTTAATTACTTCTACCTTGGCTTTATCAACCTCGATACCTTGGAAAGAAATTTTGTATACCAACAAATTTCCTTTTGAGAAAAATGAAGAAAATGAGGCATTTTAACCCAAAACCCGACGGATGTATAGATACATGACCCCGTGCATCGATGCACATTCAAGGCGTGCATCGGTGCATCAACATGATGAATCGATGCACATTCAAAGGGATGCATCGATGCATTGTTAAGTGCATCGGTGCATGAAGCACAAAAAAATCCAAAAATCTGGTTTAAAAAACTCAAAATGCTAAATTAATTAGCTCTAGTGGTATAGGCAACTCATATATTGAAAATTAATCATGTTCAAGCAATCAAATTAATCTTTAAACTATATCTGAACATAAAGTTAATTTTCATCAAGAATCATAAACTCCCCCTAACTAATAGTAATGAATGCAATAAAAAATTACTATTCTAAGCATTTTTCATTTAGTCTTAAAAGTGATAAAATTATTTTAAACACTAAGTGAAGATAGGTTGGTCAAACCTAATTCTCTCCTAAGTGTCCAAAATATTTCCTTGTCTAAAGGTTTTGTAAAGATATCCGCTAATTGGTGCAAAGTATCAACAAATTCGAGAACTACATCTTCCTTAGTGGCAGGGTCTCTAATGAAGTGATGTGCTTAGTTCAATGTGCTTAGTTCTAGAGTGTTGGATGGGATTTTTAGTGAGACAAATAGCACTAGTATTGTCACACTTGATATGAATGGTACCAATTTCAATTCCATAATCAAAAAGTTGTTGTTTCATCCATAAAACTTGTGCACAAAAACTACCAGCTGAAATGTATTCGGCTTCAGTGGTAGATAATGCAACACAATTTTGTTTCTTTGAAAACCAAGAAATCAGCATATTTCCAAGGAATTGGTAAGTACCGGAGGTGCTTTTCCTATCTAATTTGCATCCTCCATAATCCGCATCAGAAAAGGCATGCAAGCTAAAGCTAGAGTCTCTAGGATACCAAAGTCCTAAACTAGGAGTGTCCTTAAGGTATCTAAAGATTCTCTTAACAGCTAGTAAATGTGATTCCTTAGGACATGATTAAAATCTAGCACATAAACAAACACTAAACATAATGTCCAATCTACTTACAGTTAGATAAAGCAAAGAGCCAATCATTGACCTATATAATTTAACATCTACACATTTACCTCCTTCATCTAAGTCAAGCTTTGTTGAAGAGCTCATTGGAGTGTCATGAGGTTTGCCATTTTCCAGTCCAAACTTATTGAGCATATCTTTGACGTACTTAGCTTGATTGATGAAGATGCCATCTTTTCTTTGCTTGATTTGGAGTCCCAAGAAAAATGAGAGCTCCCCCATCATGCTCATCTCAAACTCACTTTGCATTAGCTTAGAAAATTCTTGGCAAAGAACATCATTAGTAGAACCAAATATTATATCATCAACATAATTTTGAACTACTAATAAATCTTTATCTTTATGCTTTAAAAACAATGTAGTGTTAACCTTCCCTTTTGAAAAACCTTTTTCAATTAAAAAATTTGAAAATCTTTCATACCAAGCTTTAGGAGCTTATTTTAAACCATAAAGTGCTTTTGTCAATTTAAGAACATGATCCGGAAATTTTGAATCTTCAAAACCTGGAGGTTGTTCCACATACACTTCTTAATTTATAAAACCATTTAAAATGCACTTTTAACATCCATTTGATATAATTTAAATTCATGAAAACATGCAAATGCTAATAACATTCTAATTGATTCAATCCTAGCTACGGGAGCGTATGTTTCATCATAGTCTATGCCTTCTTCTTGAGTATACCCTTGAGCAACAAGTCTAGCCTTGTTTCTCACTATATTACCACTCTCATCAAGCTTATTCCTAAATACCCATCTAGTACCTACAGTAGGTTTATTACTAGGCCTTTCAACTAATGTCCATACTTTACTTCTCTCAAATTGATTTAATTCTTCTTGCATAGCCATAATCCAATGTTCATCTTTTAATGCTTCTTTAATATCTTTAGGCTCTATGCATGAAATAAATGCAAAATAATTACAAATATTTCTAAGAGAAGATCGAGTTGTTACCCCTTTGGATGGATCACCTATAATCTCACCATCCTTGACATAATTGTACTCTCTTGGATAATATACTTCCCTTTCTTCAATGGTTGGATTCTCAAGAGGATCATAAGTTACCTCATCTTTTTTTTCTTCCTTTGATGATGGTTCTTCAACGTTATGTCTAACTTCATTTGTATTTATAATACCTACATCATCATTCACACAAGAATCCTTCCTCGGAAGGGGATTATCATCGAAAACAACATGTATAGACTCTTCTACAACTAAAGTTCTTTTATTAAATACTCGATAAACTTTAGAATTTAAGGAATAACCCAGAAAAATTCCTTCATCACTTTTAGCATCAAATTTGCCAAGGTTTTCTTTATCGTTATTTAAAACAAAACATTTACATCCAAAAGGGTGAAAATAGCTAATGTTAGTCTTTTTATTTTTGAAAATTTCATATGGAGTTTTCTTTAAAATTATCTTAATCATTACTCAATTTACAACATAACAAGTGGTATTTGTGGCTTTCGCCCAAAAATATTTTGGCAAATTATTTTCACAAAGCATGGTTCTAGCCATTTCTTCTAAAGTTTGATTTTTCCTCTCAACAACTCAATTTTGTTGAGGGGTTCTAGGTGCTGAAAAATTATGGCTAATACCATTAGAATTACAAAACTCATTAAATCCAAGATTTTCAAATTCAGTGCCATGATCACTTCTAACACTAGTGGTAGAGTAACCTTTTTCGTTTTGGATTAATTTTGAAAATGTGATGAAATTTTCTAATGCTTCATCTTTAGTACTTAAGAATAGAACCAAAGTATATCTAGAATAGTCATCTACCAAGACAAAAGCATATTGTTTTCCACCCAAGCTAGTAGTCCTAGTTGGCCCAAAAAGATCTATATGGATCAATTGTAATACTCTACTAGTTGATACGTCATTAATAGATTTAAAAGAAACTCGCTTTTGTTTTCCTTTAGCACAAGCATCACAGATTTTATAATTATCAAATTTAAGCTTAGGCAACCCTCGAACTAAATCACCTTGAATTAGCCGTTGCAAAACACTCATACTAGCATGTCCTAGTCTCCTATGCCATAACCAACTATCATGTTCATCCTTAGCAACTAGGCACAAATTAGTCATATCAATAGAATCTAAATGCACCATGTATATGTTTCCTATTCTATGACTAACAAGCATAATCTGATTAGATGCAATGTCAATGACTTTACAACCATTAATATCAAACATGACATTGAATCCCTTATCACAAAATTGACTAATACTCGATAGATTATGCTTTAATCCATTCACATATAAAACATTCTTAATTTGTATGGAAGAGGTATTACCAATAGTACCAATACCTTCAATGTGACCTTTTGAATCATCACCAAAAGTCACTTCTCCTCCATTTTTGGCATTAAGCTCAATGAACCGGTTTTTGTCTCCGGTCA